TGATAATCCCTGATACATACTAACATCTGCAACTCCATAGAAAACTTCCCTCCACTCTTATAATGCCCTTTTTAAAGAGGAATGTCGGTCTTTCATACAAAATGCTAGCCTAAGAGTTTTCTATGCTATGTTAGAGGGCATTTGAGGTGAGCAAGCTGTGAGCTTGTCTCTGATTACTTTAATTTTGGTTTTGTATTGTTCAGCCAAATCTGTCATTGACAATAAGAATATGGCACCCCTGTTCCGTGTTGGTACTGTATCGTTTTTCTTATGCAAGTCCTGCCAAGAAACGAAATAAAGCCGGAATGCAGCCCCAACTCAAACCTTAGACCCTAACCCCATAATCTCCAGATTAGCCAGCTTTACTAAATCACTAACAGGTAACACCCAGATGTGCTTACAGCAGACACACAGCACAAATTCTCCAGTCCAAGCCACTGCCAATGCCCTGGAAAGGAGCCATTGCGATCCTTTAACTTTTAAGACTTAGTCAAGTTCATTCTTTAGTCACAGACTTGATAAGTAGACAAGACTACACAGAGCAGCTAAATGAAAAACAGAAGATTGCACAGCACTGTGGATCTTTCTAGTAAATTCTACTGACAAAGTTTTGGCTCAGCCAATATGACATAGTAGCTAGCTAGAAAAGCTGGAACCACGTTCAATTTGTTTCATGTATTCATTGTAGCCAGTAATTCGTGTGGCCTTTTCTAACCTTTTCGCTGCTGCCTACCATATTACACAACAACAAGTTAGGAAGTGTTAACTATTTGAATTACTAGTACACCACATGAATGATTTAAACCACAAGTTGGAAGAACAGTGACTGCTATTGTTTCCAGCATTTGAATGAGTATCAAAATTTATGGCTATTACTGGCATTCTTTTACCTGTCACATTTTTTAGACACTGTCTACATTGACATATAAGTACATACATGTATCCTACGTGACCCCTTTCATGTATAGCTATAGCGACCTTGTGTATCTCAATGACATATAAACCTAAAAGAGCACATTGCAATTTGTTTCAAAAATAATGACAGAATTGGGTCTATGGTCTTACTACTAACAAACTTTAGACCTTCGCAAGCTGTCAGAAAGGAAGGTCTTGATACACATTGGATGTAAAGCAAGCTTTGTGTCTTTCAACAGGTAGTTTAATGAGGTATACTCCCCCAGGCCCTTCTGTCTACAGGGCCTAATATGCACCTGGTCAATATAAGCATTCTTCAAACACCTTCAAAACCTGGAGGTACACAGAGACACTGTTTTTACCCAGTCTCTTTTGTAAAGAAACTAGGTTTTTACAATAATCTTTGTCAAATCTGGGACTTTCGAGAAGACAACTTTGTATGTTTGTCTATAATGGAGCTGTTTCAAAAGCCAGATTTATATGTGCAATATATACATGTATTTCCTGGGAGTTTTGGAGTTTCTTGCAGTCTTCGGAATCATGATGTATTTCATATCTTGCATTTTACACTGATGCCACACCACATAATTTTCATGTGCAATGCTTCTGGTCCTGTGTAAGTGACACATGGCAGGGCTCTGTTACCCCCCTCCCCCCTCAAGATACCCACAACCAACCTGCAATGTGTAAGCAAACATGAGATATCTTTATTAGTGTAGAGTCTCTACACTAATCTGACTGCATGGCTAATACTGAATTTCAACAGCACAGAAAAGGAATCAAAAGAACAAAGCTGTAATGTCTGAGCCATGTCAGCTGACATATGGCTTTGAAAGTTTGATTGTTTTTTTTTTACTTGTTATGGACCTATTTTTCTTATTCTTAACTTTTAAGTTTAACTTTATGTACCGCTGCTACCTTTTACAATGCCATTTTCAACAATACAGCTCAGTAACCTAATGGATAATTGTCCATTTGAGTTTGGAAAATCCTAAAATGTCTGAAAACATGTAACTCCATTTTGCTTATCAGAAAACTGGTCAGACTGGACTTGATTAGGATCTGATGACTAGGAGAGAATGAATGAATGAATGAGAGAGAGAGAGAGAGAGAGAGAGGGTGAGTGAGCAAAAGAGTGAGTGAAAAATGTTGCCAGCTATCTGGTTTTTCATC